ACGCCTGTCGGTACCGCCACAGCAGCGACGACGGCCGCGAAAGCATCTTAACATATGCAATAGCAATTCGACATGACAACTACATTTAGTACTTCAAAGAGGTCATAAGAGAGATGTAATATTATTTAAGCAGATTTACATTTATAATAATTACTCATCGTTGAAAAATATGTAAAGGTTAAAGTAATTTTATTAATAATTATGATATAAGATAAATATCTTTACTAAAATCTGTAAGAAATTTCTATCTTTGTTACTGAATAAAAATACCTATGTATGTAAAATAAAATTTTCGATTTACTTGTAAATATATATTTGATGTTTATTAAATGTGACATAATTTTGTTAAAAGAAATTAAAAAGGAAAAAAGTCTATTATTAATAATGCAAATTATATATACTATCAATAAATTAATAATAAAAAATCAATGACTATTATTTTCATATATCAGATTATACTATACTGTTTTAAATATGAGTGTAAATGATAAAAACGTATTGATAAGTAGTAAAAAAAAGTAACTTACTATATGAGTTTCTAAGTTACCAATACACGCAAAAATATTAAAAAATAATGCAAATAATAGTCTACACCGTGGACTTATATCAGGAGAGAAAATAAATTATGGGTCTAAGAATATGCGACACCTGGAACTAAACTATCGCACGACTATTTATTCTCGCTTTGATTCCTATTAACTTATATGGAGGTGCGCCCACTACTCGATTTTTAGTTGTGTAGTCGTTTACAATGACAGCACAAGCTATCCCTTCATAGACATTTTCACTATTTTAAACTTTACTTTAGCAGTGATTGTTCTAAATTGCTATTACCAAATCTTATATCAAGAAAAGAATCCTTTTTAGCTGATATTGGGGTCTAATTAGGGTCATAGAAGTGATGAGATCCCTTCAACGGAATGCTTATTTCCATTTTCCTAGCAATTTGCCTTTAAATTCCCTAAGAGTGAATTCTCGACGAAAATGGCACGTTAAGGAAATTGGATGCTGAACACATTATCGTACACATTTGTGTATATTAATAAAAAGTATATTAACTTGGAGTATTAAACGAAAATAGAATATAAAAGATTATATTAAAAGAGAAGTATAATATCTATACTAATATTATAAAGAGGAAAGATTTGTATTTTTGTATGTATTGAAATAACTCGAAAACTACTGTTCCGATTTCAAAAATTCTTTCACCGTTAGAAAGGTAATTTATCTGTAAGTAACACAGGCTATGTTTTTTTTACTAACTTTTAATATTAGGCGAGCGAAGCCGCGAGCAAAAGAAAACAGAAAAATAAAGAGGAAAGATTTGTATTTTTGTATATATTGAAATAACTTAAAAATTCTTTCATCATTCAAAATCTACTTTATTAGTGAGTAATATATGTTTTTTAAGTTCGCGCGGGTGAAGTCGCGAGCAACAGCTAGTATATATTTTGATGACTTTTTATCATAAACAATATAAACTAAGACCTCATACTATACGAGATTTAACTGAACTTAAGCACATTAAGTAATAAATTTTGACTTGTAAGAAAGTAAATTTACAAACCTTTGTGTATTTTTGGGCGTTACATATTTGTAGTTGTATTTTCTTTGATCAACATGAATTCGTTTGTTGATAATCACCAAACAGCTTGCCCTCTTAGCTGGCTCGTTACTTTAGTCGCTAATTGTTCTCGCTTTTGTTTGAACAAGTTCTTAATTAAGGCTTTGGCCTTTACAATGACCTGACTCTTGAAGTATGCAATTTTAAAGAGCCCTCTTACACTTTAAATAAAACAAAGGATTCTAATTTGTTCAGAAATCTTAGAAAATTAGGCATCGTAACTTAAACAGTTAAATTTTGATATTGGCAACCAATAAAAAAATATATAAAGAAAATGAAATCGATCTCTTAAACAAGTGCAAGAAAATAAAATAAGTTATGTGGAAAAAACAAATGCTGTAGGTTAAGCATCGCACAACTGTTTGGTCGCGCTTTATTTCCTATGAGAGTATATGGTTACATTACTCGATTTTTGGTTGTTCAACTAAACAGTTGAATTGGCTGCGAAACAATGAACAATCGCACAACTACTGTCCGATAGTTAAGTAGAAACTAGAAAAATTCAAATTCTGAAACCTTATTTAACAAAAGGCCTAAATTAAGTCCCTTAGTCCTTACCACCCTTTTCTTATAAGGAGAGGATGGGAAGGGGAAGTGGATTTGACAGTGGAGGAGATGCATAGAAAGGGGAAATATCCTCTTTATGTGCGTCTTCTCCTCCGTCGGATATGGATAGGCAACGCATCTGCAATTGCGGATATCTATGGGCAGCGGCTTCGCCATTTTGGCGGATTTAGGTGGCTGCTTGCTCGTTTGCCAACTTATGTTATAAAAAAAACCTTAATGCAATATCTATTAAATTAGCTTATGTACGGTAGATATAAAAATTGTATAGGTAATCATCTTTTATCTTAATTTAAAGCCTATTGTTAAAATTTTAAACCGAGCAAAGTTAATTACGATGTACAAAATGTTCAGTCATATTAATGAGGAACACTGTTTACATCATTTACGAATTAATATACC